AGTAGCAGTAGCAGTAGCAGTAGCAGTAGCAGTAGCAGTAGCAGTAGCAGTAGCAGTAGCAGTAGCAGTAGCAGTAGCAGTAGCAGTAGTAGTAGTAGTAGCAGCAGTAGTAGTAATAGTAGCAGTAGTTGTAGCAGCAACAACAACAGCAGCAGTATCAGTAGTAGTCGTAGTAGAAGATGGAGAAGGGGAAGGAGGAGGGGGAAGGGAAACTGAGGAGGAGGAGGAGAAGGAGTATGGAGGAGGAGGAGAAGGGGGAGGAGGAGTTGGGATGATGATGATGATGAGGAGGAGGAGGACAGAGGAGGAACAGGAGGATAAAAGGGTGTAGTGAAGAGGAGGAGGATGAGGAGGAGGAGGGTCACTTTTTTTATTTCGGTGGTTCTGGATCTCCGGTTCTGGACTCCGAATTTGGTTCTGGTTCTGGAGGAGGAGGAAGAGGAGGACGGGGAGGAGGAGGGCGAGGGGGATGACGAGCAGGAGAGTGGGAAGAGAGGAGGAGGGGGGAGGAGCAGCAGGAGGCATACGAGGGAGGAGGAACATGATGGGGTGCGAGCAGGGTGTGGGCGACGAACAGGAGGGGGGGAAATGTGAGGTGTGCGTAGAAGAGGGATGCTGTGTGAGCAGAGGGGGCCCGCCGCGGCCGTCCCTGACCGCCCTGAAGCGTCGTCGTCGTCGCCGAAGAAGATCCACACCGTCCATAACGTTGAGTATAAGGAGAGGAGGAAGAGGAGGAGGAGGAGGAGGAGGAGGAAAAGGTAGAGAAGGAGGAGGAGGAGGAGAAAGTGGAAGGAGGAGGAGGACGAGCTGGTTGGAGGTCTCGAGTAACGCAAGATGCACTAACGATGCTGCAATGCACCCTCCCGTTCCCTCCCGCGCAACAGCATGTACATCACTACTTCCTACAAGTATTATTTGTCACTGCGTACAGTTCCCCGTTTGACGGTAGCCGCTACATGGGTCGATAACTTAAACGAATATTTTGTTTTCGACAGAATCCGCCCTGCACCTCTCTAGCTCTGAGAACGCTAATAGGTAAGGCCATTCATTCCAGGGATTGGCCGACGAGGGTACCGCTTCGAAGAAGAGACGACACCCATCCGATTGCCAGAGAGACGTTGCACAATGTTCAACATGTGGGCACAGGCTTCGAGGAGGTCTCAGCGTATACAAAAGAAAGCTGCGTAGCCCTCTAGCCGCGTAGTTGTTGCACGGCCTTCAACTATTTTTCCCAGCCCGCGCCCTCCTCCGCTTTGCTCCTTGCTCCTGTTGCACACATTCTCGGCGGCGCGCTTCGAGAGGAACCGCGGGCATCAGGCTTGCTTAGCGCTGTCGTGTGTAGAGGCAATTTGCAGTGGCAGTGCGAATCCTTTCGCTGTGCTGGCTGAGGCGTGGTCACACATGATGGGGCCGCGCTCCATAACAGGAATAGCAAACAGCCAACTCGAATGCCAGAAGCCGAAGAGGTACCGAGCGATACGGTAGAGGGAAACAATCAGTGAACACCCCCCCCTGCCCCCCAAACTCAAGGTTGGCACACGCGGGGGAGACTGCGGTCGAGGTGCAACGCATCAGACCCACCGCCAACTTTGAACACTGGGGGGAGGGGGAGGCGCTCATAGATGAATGTGGCATGAGTGTTCGCTATTTTTGCCAGAAGCTGAAGAGGTACCGAGCGATGCGGTAGAGGGAAACAATTAGTGAACACCCCCCCTGCCCCCCAAACTCGAGGTTGGCACGCGCGGGGGAGACCGCGGTCGAGGTGCAACGCACCAGACCCACCGCCAACTTTGAACACTGGGGGGATGGGGGAGGCGCCCCGCCCCTCTCCTTCTGCTGATACCACCCCCTCTTCTCTTTCCCCCCCCCGCCCGAGGGAGGAGGAGGAGGAGGAGGAGGAGGAGGAGGAGGAGGAGGAGGGGAGGCGGAGGAGGAGGAGAGGAGGAAGTTAGGAGGAGGGGGAGGCAGTTTTAGTTTAGACGCTGTGTAGCGAGAAACGTCAGAAACGTCAGGGGGAGGAGTGTTCGCCATTGTTTCCCGAGGCCTGGATCCCGAGGCCGCCGCCCGTGCAGCTGTGGAGCACCCTCCGAGCGACCTGCGCGCCGCGCCCGGGCCAGAGCTGCACGCGTCCGAGCAGGGGCCGCCCTCTCGGAGCCGCGTGGCGCGCGGGGGCCGTCGGAGCGAAGGCGCGCGCGGCGCGTCGTCGAGGGCTGCATGCGTGCAAAGGGGCTTGGCCTCCTCCCTCCTCCTCCCTCCTCCATCCTCCTCCCTCCTCCTCCCTCCTCCTCCCTCCTCCTCCCTCGATCGGGTGAAGCGCCCAGCCCGCGCCATCGACGCGTCTGGCGGTGCGGCGACGAGGAAGTGCTCACAGGGCACAAGGAAAAAGGGGTTGAGGAGGAGGCGGGAGAGGACACGCCACAGGAGGGTGCCCGACAGGCCGAGCGCGATGACGAGAAGCGCGCGGCGGCCCTGCGCCGACTGGATGCGGCCACGGCGACCGCGGCGGCCACCCCACTCTTGGGGGCGGGCGTTGTGGGGGCATGGAGGAGAGGAAGAGAGAGGAGGGATGAAGAGATTAAGAGAGGAGGACGAGGAGGAGAACAATGAGGGAGGCGGAGGAGGAAGAGGAAGGATCATGAATGAAGACGAGGAGGAGGACGAGGAGGAGGGTAAGGAGTAAGGGGAGTGGCTTCTCCTTCCTCCTCCCTCCTCCTCCCCGTTCTCCTCCTCCTTCTCCTCCTCCCCCTCCTCCTCCTCCTCTTCCTCCCCCTCCTCCTCCTCCTCCTCCTCCTCCTCGTTCTCCTCCTCCTCTCCCCCAGTCCTCGTCTTTCGTCATCGCCCTGTCCCTCTTCATTCTCCTCCGTCCTCCTCCACTATCTGGTCTGGACGTGTCTCTTGGTCATGACTTCTCTTGGCATGGTTACTGTCGCAGTGTTTATGGGGCTTCGTTTCGCGGGGTGGGTTGAGAGCGTGGAAGGGTTGAGAGGCGTTTCTACACGGGTGGTGCGCGCTCCCACGGCAAGTGGCTGGCTCTTCCTCTAATTTCAACCGTCTCATCGTGCAGACACCTGGACAAGCTTGGACGTCATTCGGGCACAAGTCTAAAACACATTGAGAACAAAGTGACGCAATCATGTCGCATGTGCCACTTCCCCAGCTCCATGTAGTTGACGACGTGCACGTGCGTGCTTCGCGCTTGTTTTACACACATTGCTATTGTCCTCACTGTTTCCTTTGGCATCCAGAAGGCGGCGCTGGACCCTGAGAGCATCGCCCCAAGGCTTGCCTTTTGATTCCCAACTCGTTTTACATAGTGACTTCCCGCCTTGGCATGTTTGTCCAGTCGGCACGCTCTCTTGCATGTATCTTTAGCGCTTCATTGAGCCATGCCTCGCTCTCTCCGCCTGTCTGTGCATCACCCTCTCTCTGGATGCATTACGTGCACTCTCCCCCTGCCTCTCCCTCCCGCCGTCCTGATTCAGACGGCTGTGCAGAGACGTATTTCAGGGCGTTCGAGCAGGACGCAGCGTGACAAGGAGCAGACGGGTATGAATCGACTTGGGATGATATGAGTGGCCAGGAAGAGAGCTGATGGAGACCGCCATTGTCGTAGGACGCAGTATCTTGCGCAGCATTGCGGAAAGCCCCAACCGCGCCCCGAGTCGTCTCATATTTGGCGGCTGGCTGATGGAGAAGACAGGCCAGCGGGACTCAAACATGCCGTGCTTAGGGGCAGGGGGGAGGTGGAGGTGCTCGGTATTTGGCAGGGGCGCCTGTCCACAGTTGCGCGTGGCGCCTCCGCTGCGGACACGCCGGAGCCCGCACACAGCACGCCAGCTTGCACAGAGCACTTCCTGCCGTGCGTGGCCGTGCCCCCTTGATTGGTGCCCTCTGCAGGGAAGCAAACCTCCCTGCTCCAGGCGGGCCCGCCTGCCTGGTAGCAGCACGCCGCCCTCCCCTTCATGGGGGCCACAAATGTTTCAGGGCTAACAGGATCCCCCATATTTTCCCATACTTTCTGGGCTTTTGCCTTCCACCCCGCTTCCCATATTTTCCCATATTTTCTGGGGGATCGACGAATAATCCTCCTGAACCTGCCCGAGGAGGAGGAGGTTCAGAAGGAGGAGGAGGAGGAGAAGAAAGAGGAGGAGGAGGAGGAGCAGGAGGAGGAGGAGGAGGAGGAGGAGGAGGAGGCGAAGGAGGAGGCTGCAAGGAAGCAGTCCTCAGATATGGGTTCCGATGGGACTTCGGCACCGGCGGCCTCGGCGTGAGCTCCGCGCGCGCCTCTCTCGGGCTCGGCTCCCTTCTTGCTTCGGACCTCGGCCCCTTCGGCAGTGCAACCGCTTCGCGCCCAGGAGGAGGGGGAGGAGGAGGAGGAGGAGGAGGAGGGAGGAGGAGGAGGAGGAGGAGGAAGGAGGAGGAGGAGGGGAAGAGGAGGAGGAGGAGGAGGAGGAGGAGGAGGAGGGGGAGGAGAGCGAGGACGGGGCGAGAGGAGAAGGAAGGAGGAGGGAAGGAGGAAGGAGGGAGAAGAAAGGAGGAGGGAGGAAGGGAGGAAGGAGTAGAGGAGGGAGGAGGAGGAGGAGGAGGAGAGGAGGAGGAGGAGGAAGGAGGAGAGAGGAGGAAGGAAGAGGAGGAGGAGGAGGAGGAGGAGGAGGAGGAGGAGGAGGAGGAGGAGGAGGAGGAGGAGGAGGGGGAGAAGGAGGAGGAGGAGGAGAGGCTCGCCACGGCCGGGAAGGCCCCTTCGTGCCTTACCCAGCGTCCCCACATGGTAGCACGACGGGCGCTCGTTCGGGACGATCCTGACGCGCCCCGAAGCGCGTTCGGCGAGGCGCAGCTGCTGGCCAGCACCCCCAGGCCAGAACGCCGCCGGGAGCCGACGACGACGCCCGAGAGGCTCGAGCCTCGACCCCGGAGCGCTCCCCGTGGCAGCGCGATGGCCGTAGGGCACCCGCGGAACAGCGTGAAGATGACGGCGATTCGCCGGTCTGGACGGGGTCCATGCTGCCCGGGGCCAGGCTGGGCGGGGCGGGGCGCGGCGTAGGGCTCCGTGGGCGCCCTGGTCGTGCGGGCGGAGGCAGAAGGAGGGTGCGGCGAAGAGACAGGAGGAGGGAGGAGGGAGCAGCGAAGGGAGGAGCCATCAGAACGAAGGGAGGGAGGAGGGGCGGAGGGTGGTGACAGAGGGCTAGGAGGGGAGGAGGCAGGGAGGGAGTGAGGAGGAGGAGGAGGAGAGGAGGAGGACGGAGACGGGAGGACGGGGACGGAGGCAGGAACAGGAGGAACAGGAGGGAGGAAAACAGGAGGGAAGGAGGGGGATGAGGGTTGAGAGGGGGACAGGAGGGGGCGGCGGTAGGGAGGGAGGAGGAGGAGGAAGGAGGAGGAAGGAGGAGGAGGAGAGAAGGAGGAGGAGGAGGAGGACGGAGGACGACGGAGGACGGAAAGGGCCGGCGGAGAGGACGGGAGGAAGGGAGGAGGGAGGAGGGAGGAGGAGGAGGAGGAGGAGGAGGAGGAGGAGAGGACACAGATGGAGCAGGGAAGGCGGGAGGGGAAAGGGACAGAGGGGATGGAGGAGGAAAAAGGAATCATGACTCCTTCCCCCCTGTTCACGGCACGATCGCCTCCAGCACCATCTGGCACACCTCGCCTACGCCTGCGAACGCTCCTCTCCTGTTCTTTCTCTCTCTCTACGCCTGCAAATGCTCCTCTCCTGTCCCTCCGGAGAGAGAGAGGGGACAGGAGAGGAGCATTTGCAGGCGTAGAGAGAGCGAAAGGACAGGGAGGAGGAGCGTTCGCAGGCGTAGGCGAGGCGTGTGCCCAGGAGGGTGTGCTGGAGGCGGAGAGGCGCGATCGTTGCCGGTGCCGTTGATGTGTGAAACAGGGGGGGAAGGAGCTCGGCTTCCTTTTCTCCTCCTACATTCCCCCTCTGGCCCTTTTCCCCTCCCGCCTTCCCTGCTCCATCTGTGTCCTGTCATCTCCTCCTCCTCATCCTCTTCTCCTCCTCTCCTCCTCATCCTCCCTCCTGCTGTCCCCTCTCACGTCCCTCCTCCTCTCCTTTTCCTTCTCCTTCCGTCCATCCTCCTCATCCTCCTCCTCCTCCTCCGTCCTCCTCCTCCTCTTCCTCCTCCTCCTCCTACCTCCTCATTCCTTCCCTTCATCCTCCTCCTCCCTCCTCCTCCTCCTCCTCCTCCTCCTCCCATCCTCCTCATCCTCTCTTCATCCTCCGTCGTTCATCATCAGCATCATCATCCATTCATATCAGCATCATCATCATCATTCATCATCGTCATCATCATCATCCTCATCATAATAATCATCATCATATCATCATCATAATCATCATCATCATCATCTCATCATATCATCATCATCATCATTCCCTCCGCCTCCTCCTCCTCCTCCTCCTCATACTCATGTTCCCTCCTCCTCCTCCTCATTCCCTCCTCCGTCTCTCCTCCTCCTCCTCCTCCTCCTCCTCCTCCTCCTCCTCCTCCTCCTCCTCATTCCCCCTCCTCCCTCCTCCTCCTCCTCCTCCTCCTCCTCCTCCTCCTCCTCCTCCAACATCTGCTCCGACCACTGACAGGTCGGGGGCGCCGCAAAACACGCACACCGCTCGAGGCTTCCCCACGATCTGGGCGCGAGCGGGCGAGCGTCCCGCCCCCGTCGCGGCTCTCCCGCCATTGGGAGTGCTGGGGCGGGCGCCTCGCTCGAGACGTCCTCGACGTGTGCTCCGACGGTACGTGGATCGGGAGCGCCGAAGCACGCAAACGGCCCGAGGCGTCTCCGCAGTCCTGGCGCGACGAACAGCGCCGCGCACGGTCGCGCGCGCCGAAGGCACTTTAGAAGTGCCTTCGGGGCGGCGCAGGAGGCGACAACAAATGTCGGTGTTTGCGCGCCAAGGCATTTTCTTTTGTGGAGTTGGGCGCCCTGGCGCGGACGGCCGAACGACCCCTGCAGCGGGACACCCTGGCCACGCAGTCGCCGCCGCAAAAACTACCCGTTCCCACCCAGGGGCGGCTCCCCCAAGGGGTGCTGAACCAGCGCCCCGCTCGAGGCATCCTCACAGCCCGCGAGTCTGAGCGCGGGTGCGTCGCGAGTCTGGCAGACGCCTTGGAAGTGAGCTGGGGCGTGAGCGAGTCGGAGTCTGCGTGTGGGAGAGTCAGAGGGCGGGCGATTCTGAGTGCGAGACAGCCTGACAGTGTATCGATTTGTTTGTGAGTGAGTCCGAGTGCTAGTGAGTCTGCGTACACGAGTCTCATCTTAATGAAATTTGAATGTGAGAAATGCTGGATACGAGTGAGTCTGAGTACTGAAGAGGAGAAGGGAGGAGGAAGGGAGGATGTGACGAAGGAGGGGATTGGGAGGCGCCACAGGAACAACATAAGCACAACGGTATGCCAATCATTGGGAATAACGGAAAGCTGCGTCTCATGGCTGCTTCTATGTATTCAGTTGCCCTTATTCGTAAGTTCCTACACACGCTACTTATGAATCTCAGTGTTGCCATCGAGCTTGCATGATATATTCCTATTCGCACTGCTACTCCTAACCCCCATTCTAACCTGTATATATTTTCTAGTTGATTAATTCTTGCTTGCGTGATTTTCAGCGGTTCTAAGGTTCTCTGGTTCATATCGTCACGCTCGTGGTGTTCTTGGTCCGGGCTCGTGTTCTTGATCTCGTGCGCATTCCCAATATGAAGGCCATTGTCAATCGCATTATTTCGAACACTTTCATCAGTTGACTTATTATCGTCCGTGCTCCTACCAATGGCGTTGCGATTTCCCTTCATCTGATTCTTCTTCCTTGGCGCGAATCATCGCGTTGACACGTGCGTCCTCGTGGCCATGTGGCTGCGTTTGTATTGTCTTTTGCAATGCATTCCGCTGTCAAATGCAAAATTGTGTGATGGACGCTCTGTCGTCGAAAGCTTGGCCAGCCAAGCGCCATACTTGAGAGACGGAGACGGAGGAGGAGGAGGAGGAGGAGGAGGAGGAGGAGGAGGTGACTTGTCCCTCGCGGCCTCGGCCGCGTGTTCAACCCGCGTTCTGCATCACAAGCAGCACGACAAACAAAATCCCTGGGATCCGACGTAGGAGGCATTTTTCGAGCCGGCTCGATCTGTGACGGCCGCGGGGGGCCCGAGACCCGGCGAAGATGCTTGGTGCTAAAAAGCTGCAGCGCCCGGATCGCAGGGCACCGCGACACAAAAACCTCCTTGTCTCCAGATCCGACTGCTTTTGGTGGATCGTGCGATGAAGAAGTGTGTCAGACATGCGCACCAAACGGTGCAACACAGTAGGTCGCGATTTCCGCAAGCATGGCGGAAACGACGGCGGCAAAGTTGGGTGGAACTCGGCATCAAGGGAGCTTGAAAAGCAGGGGGGGCATTTCCGCACTACTTACGACATCGTCCAGAGTGCGGGGGAGCAGCGAGAGACCTCAGACGGGTGCGCGTGCCCCCCCTCCCTCCCCGAGGCTCCGCTGGACCTCCCAGGAGCCCACGAACGTGGCGACAGGAGGAGGAGGAGGAGGAGGAGGAGGAGGAGGAGGAGGAGGAGGAGGAGGAGGAGCCAGGGCCTCCTGAGCCCATCCCCCGCCAACGTTGCCCCTTGGTTTTCGGGTCAGAGCTCGGCCGTCTTGCAGCCGTCCAGGGCGACCCGGGCGCCCCTTGGACGCCTCCCGTCGAGGCGCAGCCGCTGGCGGGCGCCCCGAGGCGGGAAGGACGCCGAGAACCAGCGAAAACGCCCCAAAATACCCTCCAGACTCGGACCGAAAGGTCATGCAACAAGGACGCAAGGAAAGGTATCAGCCACCTCAAAGGAAGAGTGTCACACACGAAGGCTCTGAGCCGCCCCCGCGGCTGCGATCCGAGCTCCAGCGCTCCAGCTGCGATCCAGACTCGGACTCGGACCGAAAGGTCATGCGAAAACGACGCAAGGAAAGGTGTCAACCGCCTCGAAAAATTAACCTTGGGACTCGGACGGCCAAGATCTGCCCCGTGGCATCGCTCGGACGTGTGCATTTTTTCCCGGCGAGAACCAGCGAGGACCATCCTGGACCATCGAGCAACAAAACACACGCACGAAACCGAAAAATGCACGGGAAATGGACGTCCGAGCGACGGCAAGGCCCACGTGGAACGGCCACGGTCTGCCCACGTGGAGGGCGCACCGTGCCGAGATCCGCCGCCCGGCCCAGCCCCCCCCCGCTGCTCAGGGGTGAAGCCCGGCCTGCAGCTCGGCAGGCGCGGCGCCCGCCCCGCCGCCGCCGCCGCCGCCGCCGCCGCCGTCGTCGTCGTCGTCGTCGTCGTCGTCGTCGTCGTCGTCGTCGTCGTCGTCGTCGTCGTCGTCGTCGTCGTCGTCGTCGTCGTCGTCGTCCCCAGACCTCCAAGAACGTGTTGACAAACATGATGTGCGTTTTCTGAGCGTCGTCTCGCTTCGGGATGCTCTCACGCAGCTGCGCCTCGCCGAGAGCGTTCCGGCGGTGCCCATAGCGCCCCGAACGGCCGCCTGAGGCCCAAGTTATGGCCAGACGAAACCTGGGCTCAAGGGTACCCTGCCCTCCAGCTCAAGGGTACCCTTGTGGGCCCTGCCAGCTCAAGGGCACCCTTGTGGGCCCTTGTGTCCTGTGCCTCGCGACGTGTGCCGTCTTACACTCTTCCACTCCCAATGGCGATGTGACCTTCGTAAGGGTCTTGTGTCCTCTCGCGTGTCCTATCCAATCAAGTCCGACTGTGTGGCCAGACGAAACCTGGGCTCGGCTCCGGGGAGGGCCCGAGATCCGCGCGATGCATTTCTTCAAGCCGGGCGCCTTCGCCCACGGTGCCGAGGCCCCAGGGCCGGCTCGGATCGGTGCGGCTCGGAGGAGGCAGCCGGAGGGTGGTGTGTGGGGCTGCGGTCGTCGTTTTTCCAGAGGCTGCAAGTCTTCAGTCGGGCCTGCCCCTCTACAGGGGGAAGATTCAAAGATAGTCAAACAGCAGTCAGGGGACTATGTTGTAACCATTTTGGGGCATCTTTGGGCATTTTGGGGGTATCTTTCATTCTTCGTCCAAGATCCCCCCTGTAGTCAAAACATAGTCTGGGGATTATTTTTTAACAATTTTGGGGCATCGTTTGGGCATTTTGGGGGTATCTTTCATTTTTCGTTCAAAATCCCCCTGCAGGGGGGGGGACAGGCCCGACCTCATGCAAGCGTTTCGCAGCGTCGGGTCCCAGGGAACCGAAGACTGACACAAGGCAGGACGAGGGCCGTTCCTCGTTTTCCGCGGCCTGGGGCCCGTCGCCAGGCCCCAGGGCCGTCAGAGGACAATCCTCAAGCAGTGGCGAAGCGTCCTGGCTCGCCTACGTATAGCCCCACCAAAGCATGTTCTAAGAGCCTTTCGTGGTTTCCACGAAGTGTTCTCAGAACATTTCTGGCGGGGTCTGTCCTGTTTTAACACATCGGGCTTATGTTCTAAAAACACTGCTGTTGTTCTTAGAATATTTCTGGGTTCTAAGAACATTTCGTGGTAGGACTATAGGAATGCTGGGACGGTCGGTTCCTGCTCAAAATCCGGGACGTGCCGCTGGTCCTCGGGAAGTGGTCCAGAGCTCCGGGGACCCCGTGTTGGAAAGTTCAAGACATCGGAGGTCTGGGTCATCGCGGTTCTCGCGAGGAGGGGGAGGGGGGTGCGAGGAGCGATGGGAGACGGGAGGAGGGTACGAGAGGGAGGAGGAGACGAGGATGCTGTTGGAACGTGCCGCCTTTGAGGGCGGCTGGCCCCCCGTATCATCAATGGTAAGACACAGCCACTGCGGGAATATCAGCATCCTCTCACGTGGTACGACAAAACGATTCCCATATCAGTGCTTCAGGACCGCCGGCCTTGCCGCCAGGCTGCGCCCTGAAGGCCCGTGCTTTCTCTCTCTCTCTCTCTCTTTCGCGGTATTGTAGTGGCCTCCGGCCAGTGCCGCCGATCCGGGGCGCTCCAGAGGAACAAGAGAGGAGCACCATCATGCCCACGGACGTGGGCGTCGTACTCATGATGATGAGCTTCATTCGGCGTGCAAGCATGATTTGACATACAGAGGGAGGACGAGGTCAAGGAGGACCAGGGCCTAACTCGGGGCCTTCAGGCGCTTCTTGGGGGCCTCTTGGGGCCTCTGCAGGACTTCTTGGATGCTTCTTGAAGCCTCGTGGGGGCGTCTTGGGGTCGAAGGCTCGAAATGGCATGGAATTGTTCCCCCTCGGGGCCCCCTCTTGGGCCCGCCCTGAGGCACTCTTGGGCCGTCTCTGGAGCTTCTCGGGGGCCGTTTGGGGGGCTTCCTCGGGCCGTCTTGGAGCGCTCTTGGGGGCCTGCTGGTCCGTCTTGGAGCGATCCTGAGGGCGTCTTGGGCCGTCTTCGACGCCGTGAAAACCCAAGAGGCGAATCTGCTGAACATGTACGCTTTCCCGAGGAAATGTGGAAATGTTTGCCGCTTGGGGCCCTCTTGGGAGCCCTCTTGGAAGCTTCCTCGGGCGTCTTGGAAGCTCCTTGGGCGTTATGGAGGCCAGCTTTGGCGTCGTGGACCGATCGTTTGACGACTCGGGGCCCTCTGGGGCCGTCTTGGGAGCCTATTGGGGTCCTCTTGGCCCGTGTTGGGGCTCTCCTGGGCCCGAAAGAGCCCCCCCTTCGAAAAGGGTAGACACCCCCCTCCGCCCTCCCCCTCTTCCTTGGCAAGGTCACCCTGGCCCCCCCCCCCCCCCTAGCAGAGCTAAAACTCAGGCTGTAGCTTTTGAAAACTCACACGCCGGATCTGCGGATGTACTTGCAGTTGTTGTTATTCCCTCTCTATATATATATATATATATATATATATATAGATATATATATATATATATATACATATATACACATATATCCCTGCATAGATTTACACATGTACATACATGCACACCTACATGCAAATGTGTGGTAGGTCTATATCTCTCTCTCACTCTCTGTTTGTATATATATATAGACGTTTATTCTCTCTCTCTCTCTCTAAATATGTATATGTCTCTTGATATTTCTCTGTGTAGTATTATTTCTCTCTCTACATCTATAAGCGCAACCATATGTTCGTGCCGCTATCTCTATACATATACCTGTGCATATGTTTCATGTTTATGGTTCGATCTCTCTCTCTCTCTCTCTCTCTTTCTCTCTCTCTCTGTGTTGGTATATGGTGTGTGTTGTTGTCTCTATATGTCTCTCTCTCTCTCTCTCTTTCTGCTTATCTCCTTTTCCCCTGCCTATTCTATTATCTCTGCAATATTGTTATTTGAGTGCTACACGCCTCCCGCTCCCTAGACAGCGTCGTGTTTGGCTTTGGCCTGCCTCTCCCGCGTACCTGGCTTTTTTCGCACACGTGGCTTCAGCGGCGTGGGCCCGATTCGCCCGAGGCTCGATTCGCTCGGTTCGATTCGATTCGCCCAGGCTGCGTTCGCCCGAGTCTCGATTCGCCCAGTTCCGCCCGCCCGCCCGACCCGACCCGTCCGTTAGGGTCCACCCGCCCGACCCGACCCGCCCGTTAGGGTCCGCCCGCCCCGCCTGTTGGGGTCCGCCCGCCCGACCCGACCCGCCCGTTTGGATCCGCCCGCCCGGCCCTCACCCGCCCGTTAGGGCCTAGGGCTCGAGCGTGCTAGCGCGGTGATGCGTCATACTCCAATGTCCCGCCCGCCCGACCCGACCTGCCTGTTAGGATCCGCCCGCCCGACCCGACCCGCCCGTTCGGGTCCGCCCGCCCGACTCGACCTGACCTGAACTCCCGCGCGTACTAGCGCGATGATGCGTCATATTTTAATGGTCCCGCCTTGAATTGACCCGCCTGCTAGGGTCCGCTCGCCCGACCCGGCCCGCCCGTTAGGGTCCGCCCGCCCGACCCGACCCGCCTGTTAGGGCTCGCGCGTGTTAGCGCGATGATGCGTCATATTTTGACGTCCCGCCCGCCCGACCCGACCCGCCAGTTAGGATCCGCCCACCCGACCCGACCCGCCCGTTAGGGTCCGCCCGCCCGGCCCGACCCGCCCGTTAGGGCTCGCGCGTGCTAGCGCGATGATGCGTCATATTTCGGAGGAGTGTATACATACACCAATCCATTCCCCGGGTGTAGAATTTATAGCAGTTTTTTTTTTCGGTGCCGCTTGTTTTCCATTGCTTTTTCGTTTACATGTGCTTCATTTTCCCTCTGCTGCACCGCGCGTCTTCCTCCTCATTTACCCACCTCCCCCCGCCCCCCTCCGCTCGCAGCCGCGTCCGCTGCGTTGCCTGCTGCATGCTGCTGGTGGACCGTCGTTACCATCCGCTGCCGTTGCTGCGAACGTCGTGATCAGTTCGGTAATCCCCTCGCACGGATCGTGCCCCATATGAAGCTTCATCGACCATCCTGGCAGGGGCGTGCTTAAAGTGTCTCCGCGCTCATTTCGGCACGCCCCCCAGCGCGGACTGCAGCCCGCAATGGGCTCCACCCGCAGGCTCAAGGGGGGCGCCCCCAAAGCTTATCCGCAACCACTGCGGCACGCCTTTCCCGCGGCTCGCGCCACTGATGGAATTTCGCCTACGGCCGTCGCGGGGGCGCTCCAAGTGCGCCTCCATGCCCGCGTCGGCACGCCCCTCGCGAAGATCGCGCCCATACAGTTGTGGCCCCATTTGGAATTCCCATGGCGTCTCCGCTCCCGTTTTTGGCACGCCTTTTCAAGCGGATGGCGCCCCACAAGGAGCGCCGCGTACAAGCCCAGTAAGGGCAGTCATATTTGCGCATGGCGTAATCGTGCAAATGTCTGCTTGCGTTTGAACAGATCGTGCTCCGCATGGCGGCTCCGCGCACGGCCCTGGCGCGGAGGCCCCCCCCCTGGCTATGTCGTCGCACCTTTCAATCAGGTTGTGCTCCCTGTGGAGCTTCACCTGCAGTCCCAGCGGGGGCGTCCGCATGCGGTCGCCCACTTTCCATGGCCACGGGGGACTATGCAAAATCCGGAAACTATAGGAGAAAAATCCAAGGCCCGATTGGTGTATAAAATTTCGGGACGACGAAAATTTCGGAATGTATCAGGCAGAACGGCCCGCCGAAATTTTATACACCGATCAGGCCATAGGAATTCGCCCTATGAGCCTCCCAGAATTTCTGTGGCCCCGGTGACCCGGGGCTTCGCTCCCAGCCACCGATAGAACCGGCCACAGGCAGGCCGTGGCAGGCGGTGGTGCCCCATTTGTGTAGGATTGGAAACCACATCACAATACCTTGACGCTCCGTTTTCGTTTTTTAGGGGGTTAGAGGGGACGGAGAGGGCGGCAGGGATACGGGGCCTGGATGGAGCGATTGGGGGGGGGGATCGGGGCAGAGACGGGTGGGGAGTGAGAGGGAAAGGGAGGGGCTGGCGGGCGCAGGGAACGGGAGTGGGAGCGGGGAGTTCCGAGCGAAAGGCATGGGAGCGGGGAGGGGGATGGGTGAACGGACAGTGGGGGGTGGAGGAACGCAGGGGGGGGGAGGGAAGGAGTCTGTGAACGGAGACGGAGGCTGGAGGCGAGGTCGTGGCGGGGTCAATGGGGGGGCGATGGTGAGTTGGGAAGGGGGGGAGGGTGATCGTGGGGACGCGGGCCCGTCGCCCATATTTGGCTCAAACCCCCTTGGCGGCATCGTTTCCAATCGGGCCAGAGTTTGTACTCCTCCCCTCCCCAATGTGGTGGATGGGTTGGGGTGCTGGCGAGCAGGCCCGCGCGCGTTCCCCGGCCAGCGCGCGGCCCTGTTTAAATTTTCTCGCGTGCCCGGCTACGGGCACGCATTCATGGCCTCGAAACGAGGCACCCCTCGCCTAGAGACGGCATCACCACCATGGGCGGCGGTTTTCCGCCATGGGTGCCGGGGCCGCTGCGGCCTTGCCCGCCCCTGGACAAACGCGCCCAGGCGGGGCGCATGGCGCTTGCTCCCTCTATCGGCCACTGCGCCAAAACCGCTTTGGCCCAACACTCAAAACAAAAATCGGCCCGAACAGGTCGGTGTATATACACACGCCTCCCAATATTTTGACGTCCCGCCCGCCCGACCCGACCCGCCTCTTAGGATCCGCCCGCCCGACCCGACCCGCCCGTCGTCAGGGTCCGTCCGCCTGCTCCCCCTCCTCCTTTGGATCTCCCACGTGCCCGGCGAACCGTGTCGGGCGAACCGAGCCCCGGCGAACCAAGCCCCGGCGAACCGAGCTGGGCGCATCGAGTGGGGCGAGCCGAGCCCAGTCGAACCGAGTCCCGGCGAATCAAGCCCCGGCGAACCGAGACTCGGGCGAGCCGAGTCCGCGCCGCTTCAGCGCTGATGTTTCGCGCGTGTTGCTTTCGCTCGGGTTGTCTTCGGCCGCTCTCGACTCCCACCTCGGACCGGGGAAAGCTACGGTGCACTCCCCTGGGCAAGTCACTCACATATTTTCTGACTTCTTACCCCCCCCCGCGGGACCCCCGATCTCAAGTTGAGCCGGTCGCGGCCGACGGTGGCAAAATCAAACCGTGCGGCGCCTTGCATGCACATTGAACTTGAGGAACGCAGGGAGCCGGACCGCGCACGAGAGTTACATTATTTTTCCAGGGTGGTGCAAGATTCGAGCTTGCCAGGACCCGTCATCTCCGCCGCTCTTTGACGCTCTTTTCGCAAGCTTCGGCGGCCCGGCCTGTCGTGAGGCGTCTGCACAGCGGGCGGTTGCACCGAGCTTCGGGCACGTTCGGGCCCACAGGGCTCGAGCCGCGCGTCCCCCCGATCGGCGCCAGTCGCACGTCGCCGTCGCCGTCCGTCGACATTGTCCGTCGTACGTCGCCGTCGCCGTCGCCGTCGTCGTCGCCGTCGTCGTCGCCGTCGCCGTCGCCGTCGCCGTCGTCGTCGTGGTCGGTCGGTCGGTCGGTCGGTCGGTTGGTGTCGGTCCGTCGTCGTCCCTCGTCCGTCGTCCGTCGTCGTCCGCCGTCGTCCGCCGTCCGCCGTCGCCCGTCGATCGTCGACGCCGCCGCCGCCGCCGCAAGCCGAACGGGACGTCGCCTCCCCGAGCCGCCCGTACGACCAGGCGTCGCCGCCGGCCGTCGGTCGCCGTCGTCCGTCGGTCGTCGGCCGTCGTCGCCGTCGTCGCCGTCGTCCGCTGTCGTCGTCCGTCGGACGTCGTCGTTGTCCGTCGGACGCCGCCGTCGGACGCCGCCGTCGCCCTCGTCCGTCGGTCGTCGCCGTCGTCGGAAGTCACTGTTATCGGACGTCGCCGCCGTGGCCGTCGGCCGTCGTCGCCGTCGTCGTCGTCGTCGTCGTGGTCGTCGTTGTGGTCGTCGTCGTCGTTCGTTGATCGTCGGACCTCGCCGTCGTCGTCGCCGTCATCCGTCGTCGCTGGTCGTCGTCGGTCGCCGTCGTCTGCCTTCTCCTGCTTCCTCCCTCCATCCCTCCTTCTTCCCCCCTCCCCCTCAGCGCCGTCTTCGGCTGGATAGTGGTTTCAATGAAAGCGGCCTCCAGGCTGAAGGACTGGCTGTACTATCTGCAGGCCTTTCGCTTTGTTGGTCCTTCGCCGTTGCATTTGTCATGTTGCCGCTCTGTGGTGGCAGAGTTGTGCGAGCTGCAGGGAACATGTCCAGCACAGCCCGTTGTCATAGATCGTGACCTCTCGTGGCGACGGCCTCGACGCGGCAGGGACGCTGCCGCGGGTCTTCAAGATGGAACGTCGTTTGGGGGCCGCCCATCTTGGGCCCGCGGGCCCGAAGAATCAGGAGGGGAAGAAACACACAGACACAACAATTCATCGTCGATTCCCCAGAAAATATGGGAAAATATGGGAAGTGGGGGGGAAGACAGAAACCCAGAAAATATGTGAAAATATGGGGTTTGTTTTTTATTTGTGTATTTATTTGTGTGTCCCAGGGCTCCTTCAAAGATGGAACGTCGTCTGGGGGCCGCCCATCTTGGGCCCGCGGGCCCGAAGAAGGCAATCCACGGCGCGAAATCCATACGAGAGATGGGGTCGACAGCCTCTGGAGGCCCCAGGCTGCAGAGGTCGCTCCAGATTTGAGCGGCTCGCGCGTTGTCAGAAGATTACGGGGCCTGGGGTGTCAACGCAGGAGTCTGCGGTGTGGCCTCTGAGCTGCACGTGGGTGGAAGCATTCCGGTTGCCTGGCCCATCCGCTTCTCAGTCTGGGCCGGCCTTTGGGTTCTCTCGCCTCGGAGGGTGCGTCGCCCAGTATCGTGTGGGCTTCGCTCAAGTGATGAAGGTCCTAGCCGCCGCGACGCTGTGGGCTTTTTCGCGATAAGTGTGGGTGCTATCCAAGCGTGCTGTGCATGAAGGAGTGTTCGCAGTTGTGATGACCCCCCCCTGATCTTGGTGCGGCCAGTTTTTCGCGATACCAGCATGATCGAAATCAAATTCAGGAAGGTAGTCGTGACGCGTCAGGTCATGACAATTGCGCTTGATGATTCATTCCCCTGATCGTGCGAACGGATGGCTTGTCTAAACTGGTGGTGCTCTCTCTCTCTCTCTCTTTCCAGGTTGACCAGGACATCCGAAGTGTACAAGAGCTGGAGGCCGTTTCTTTGCGATTCAAGTTGCGCTTCAGTGTAGCCTGTTCGCCAGACCTCCAGCACATGATGATTGCCATCAAAATCATAAAGTCTAGCGGTACGTCTCCTGCCTTTGTTTACGGGTGCGCTTGATCATGATCGTACGTTTTTCTCTTGCATCCGCAGTGCCTTTGTCCTTGACGTGTGTATTTGCAGTCTGGCTTATCGTCGCACATTGTTCGTTTGGCATGATCTTTCTCTCTTGCAGACTCTCCCGAGGCACGCTTTTGCTCAGTACAATCGGAATCGAGCTTCTTGAAATGCGCTTCTGATTCTAAGGCTCGCGTCACGCCGCTGACCCTTCAGAGCCTTTGGGACTTTTGAGACTTGTCCGCCAATGGATTGGACGCGTCCCGCAATATGTCTTCACCGAGTGGCCCACACAGGCAAGCAGAGTTTTCGCGACGAAGAAGGGCGCCAGGTTGAGGAATAATGAGTCCGCGGGCACCGTTCAGGAGGACCTCACCCCCTCCTAACCGGCCAGACCAGACTCCCGGTGGAAGGGGTTTTGGGATGGGCAACCACTTCACACGCCGAGGAAGGAAGTCCCCAGGGGGGGGGGGGGGGGGCGAATTTTGTTCAGCGTGTTCACTGCGCGAGGGATCTGGGGAACCCAGCGCTTCCGTCTGCTTCCCTTCTCCCCTCACGTGTTCAGGTACACCTGGGGAGCGCGTGCACCTTGGATACACGTGCTGGGATTTACCTGGAACGCCAACATGCACCTGGGATGCACCTGGAGACATGGACACACCTGTGGGGATCGAGGATGCACCTGTGGGGATCGAGGATCGAGGATGCACCTGGGATGCACCTGGGATGCACCTGTGGGGATCGAGGATCGAGGCTGTGGGGATCCAGGGGCCGCCGCTTCGGAAGTCGGGGGGCCCGCCGCTTGTGAGGGTCCGCGGCCGCCTGTGGGGATCCAGGGGCCGCCGCTTCGGGGACCTCTGGAGACCCGCCGGAGACCTCCGGGGACGAGGGCAGAAGGGAGGCGGATGGCGGAGGAGGAAGAGGAGGAGGCGGCGGAGGAGGAGGGGGAAGCGGCGGATAGAAGAAAAAAAGAAGGAGGAGGAGGAGGAGGCGGAGGAGGAGGAGAAGGTCGAGGAGGAGGAGGAGGAGGAGGAGGAGGAGGAGGAGCGTCATTGTCCAGCTCTTTCTCCTCCTCCTCCTCCTCATCATCATCATTTTCTTAATCTTCATCATCATCATCATCATCATCATCATCATCATCATCATCATCATCATCATCATCATCATCATCATCATCATCATCACTCATCATCATTAGCACCATCATCACCATCATCATCATCATCATCATCATCGTCAGCCTCATCACCACCATCATCATCAGCATAATCAACATCATCAGCATCATCTTCATCCTCATCCTCATCATCATCAACATCATCAACATCCTCCTCATCATCACCATACCATCATCATCAACATCCTTCTCCTCCTCATCATCAGCATCACAATCATCATCAGCAGCACCATCATCATCATCATCAGCAGCACTACCATCGTCATCACTACCGTAATCATCATCATCATCATCAGCATCATAATCATCACCATCATCACCACCATCATCATCAGCATCATCATCATCACCATCACCATCACCATCGTCATCGTCATCGCCATCATCATCACCACCATCGCCATCCCCATCACCATCGCCATCATCATCATCATCACCACCATCATCATCATCAGCACCATCTTCATCCTCATCATCATCAACATCATCAACATTCGCCTCCTCCTCCTCACCATCATCACCATCTCCATCATCATCAACATCCTTATCCTCCTCATCATCAGCATCACCATCATCATCAGCAGCACCATCATCATCAGCAGCAGCACTATCATCGTCATCACAAGCGTATTCATCGTCATCATCATAATCATCACCATCATCACCACCATCATCATCAGCATTATCATCATCACCATCATCATCACCATCGTCATCGTCATCGCCATCATCATCACCACCATCACCATCACCATCACCATGACCATTACCATCAGCATGAGCATCAGCATCCTTATCATCATCATCATCATCATCATCATCATCATCATCATCATCATCATCATCATCATCATCATCATCATCATCACCATCACCATCACCATCACCATCACCATCACCATCACCATCACCATCACCATCACCATCACCATCATCTGCTTCTCTGTCAGCAGCGACACGACGCGGGCGAGCGTTTCACGTCGGCCTCGGGACGCGAGGTGGCTCGCGTGAGGGCTCCCTCGTCAATCGCCCCCCCGCGAAAGAGAGGAAGGAAGCGGCCGCGCCGTCCTGCCGCCTTGGAAGCCTCCTGGGGGCCTGCGGAAGGCCGCTCGAGGCGGCGGAGGGAGGAGCAGGAGGAGGAGGAGGAGGAGGAGGAGGAGGAGGAAGGGGGAGGAGGAAGAGGAGGAGGAGGAGGAGGAGCAAGGGGGGAGGAGGAGGAGGAGGAGGAGGAGGAGGAGGAGGAGGAGGAGGAGGAGGAGGAGGAGGAGGAGGAGGAGGAGGAGGAAGGGGAGGAAGGGGGAGGAGGGGAGGAGGAGGGAGGAGGAGGAGGAGGAGGAGGAGGAGGAGGAGGAGGGAGGAGGGAGGAGGAGGAGGAGGAGGAAGGAGGAGGAGGAGGAGGAGGAGGAGGAGGAGGAGGAGGAGGAGGAGGAGGAGGAGGAGGAGGAGGAGGAGGAGGAGGAGGAGGAGGGAGGAGGAGGAGGAGGAGGAGGAGAGGAGGAGGAGGGGAGGAGGAGGAGGAGGAGGAGGAGGAGGAGGAGGAGAGGGAGGAGGAGGAGGAGGAGGAGGAGGAGGAAGAGGAGGAGGAGGGAGGAGGAGGAGGAGGAGGAGGAGGCCTGCTGGCGCGGCGGGCCCCTCCCCGTCTCCGGCGGGAGCCGGCGGCGCGGGGGGCGGCAGGGCCGAGAGGGGGGGCGCGGGGGGAGCCGCCCGGAGGGGGGCGGTGAGCCCGCGCAAAGCTCCGCTCCTCCTCCCTCCTCCCTCCTCCTCTTTCCCTCCTCCTCCTCCTCCTCCTCCTCCTCCTCCTCCTCCTCCTCCTCCCCCTCCTCCTCCTCCTCCCCCTCCTCCTCCTCCCGGGATCTGCCGGCTTCAACTGGTACAGGACACGCACCCCAATTTGAACGATGCGAACAGGTGGGGCGGACAGTTCCGCCTCAGAGAATGGGTCGGGACGCCCGAAATGGGTACGGAAAGAATGGGCACAATGCCCAACAGCAGTTTCTGTTCACTTTGAACGGGACTCGCCGTCCGCGCCGCCGCGGCCTGTGTCCATTCGAGACAGGAGGCCGCCTGCCCAACAGCGGCCGCTGCTGGTTCGGGGCAACATTTGCTGTTGGGCATTGTGCCCATGGTTTCCGTGCCCACTTCGGGCGTCCAAATCCGTGGGTCGGGGGCCGGCAGGTGCTGCCAAGGTGTCCCCGGGGAGGTCCCCGGGGGCCCAGGTGACCTCCAGAGCAGAGCTCCACCTAAACGGTACTTCGGCCACGTCGTGGGCCGGTTTCGTTTCGAGACCTTCGTTTTGCAGCAAAGATGACACGAAGGAAACCGAGAACAAAGCGACAACGAAAAGCACTGTTTAGGTCGAGTCCTGGTCGTGAGCATTCCCCACGGGGCCCAGAGGGCCCCGGGGGGCCCCGAAATGGTGCGAAACGCTGGGGGCTCCCAGGGACGGATACCACTTCTGGCAGCGCCCGACGTAGCTGGGGGCGGATGGAGCCCAGGGTGGGGTCAAGGGAGCGAACCCAGCTTGAGGCCGATGTCTTCCTTCTTCGGGGGCCGCCCACGGTGATCTTCCTCAGACCCCACCTCTGCCTTTGCCCCGCCCTTACTTCTGCCTTTGGGGGGGGGGGGGGGGGAGGGGGAGGGGCACGAGCCTTAGGGGTGCACCTGGGGCCGTCGCCGAAGGAGGAAGGGGAGGGGGACTGGGGGCGAGGAGGGAGGAGGAGGGGGATGGGGAAAGAGGAGTTTGGAGCGGGAGGAGGAGGAGGAGGCGGAGGCGGAGGGGGTGGAGGAGGACAAGGAGGGGGAGAGGGAGGAGCAGCAGGAGGGGAGGGCGAATAGGTCAGAACTTGTATATGATCCCGGGCTCTGGGCCCACGGCCCCCCCCCCCCCCAGATGGGATGGGTCTCAGGGTCTCTTGGGCCCCCCCCTTGGGATGGGGGGGGAGACGACCACGACGACGACGATCACGACCACGACGACGGCGGCGACGACGACGACGGCGACGACGACGACGACGACGACGACGACGGCGACGACGACGGCGACGGCGACGACGACGACGACGGCGACGACGACGACGACGGCGACGACGACGACGACGGCGGCGGAGGCGGCGACGACGGCGGAGGCGGCGACGACGGCGACCACTGGAGCACCACAGTACCACGCCACACGCGCCACACCCACAGCACCACACCCACACCCACGTTGGGGGGGGGGCCATCGTCGCACTGGGAGGGGGGGGGGGGCCGATGGCATCAGGACGAGAGGGGGGGCCTGGACCCTGGACCATGCAGTGCCGTTTTTAGTAGATGCTCCGCGTGCGGATCATGCATTCATCAGGAATTTTGTACCAAAAACAACGATGAAATTGATCATTCAGTACTAGTGCAAAAATTTAGCAAAACAGTATTAATCATGCATAAGTTCATTCATACATTGATCATGCATTAAAAATCAGATGTTTTTAAACATCCCATGAAAACTGCCCTGTAAACTGGTATATGATCGAGATGGTCGATCGATCGACCAGCGTGAGGCGGTCAATCGGCTCTAGCACGTCGATCGATCGGCCAGCGTGACACCAGAAGACCTCGCCTGCGGCCTCTGCCGATGACGAGAAGCTGCTCTCCCACCCTGGTGTTCCCAGAAGCTCCTTCGCTCACGGATGTGAGAACACTTGTGAGGGCATTTGCTTCGGCTCGAAGATGGGCCCGTAACGTTGGCAGTCTGGAAACTGCTAGCTTCGCCGGCATGGGCGTGGCGGGCGCTGTGCTTCTCATCACCGTATTCCTCCTCGCCGTCCTCGTTGCGGTCGCCGTCGTCCTTCTTCTCTGGCTGCTTCCCACCCCTCATTCTTCCCTTCTGTCTCGTGCCCCCCTTTCCCCATGGCGTCATCATCCTCTTGCTCTTCTTCCTCCTCAGTATCGCCATATCATTTCTCATCCTCTGCTCTGGCTATCTCCTCCCACTCGCATCCTTCTCCTCCTCTTCATCCTTCTCCGTCGCCTCTTCCCCATCGCGCTCGCCCCCCTCCCCCTTTCCTACTTCTTCCCTTCCCCCCCCCTGTCCCCCCCCACTGGACCTCTTCATCGTCCTTCTCCTCCGTCCCCCTTCCCCATGGGGCCGTCCTCTTTCCCCTCCCCAACTTTCACCTCCCCCCTCCTCTGGCTGCTCCTCCCTCTACCCTCCACCCTCTACCCTCTACCCTCCTCCTCCTCCTGCTCCTCCTCCGTCGCCTCTTATGTTTCGCCTTCTCCGTCGCGTTTTCCGTTGTTTCTTCTTATTATTATTCTTCTTCTTCCGCTTCTCCTCATCCTCTTTCGCCCATTCCACACCTTGCTCTCTTCCTCCTCCTCCTCCTCCTCCTCCTCCTCCTCCTCTCCTCCTCCTCCTCCTCAGGCTGCCTCCTCCTCCTCCTCCTCCTCCTCCTCCTCCTCATCATCATCATCATGTTCCTCCTCTTCTCCTGCTCCTCCTCCTCCTCCTCCTCCTCCCCCTCCTCCTCCTCCTCCTCCTCCTCCTCCTCCTCCTCCTCCTCCGTCAAACTCCCCATTCTCCCCGCGCCTTCTTCGTTGCCGTTGCCTTTGCCCTCCTTCTGTTCCTCCCTGCGCCTCCTCGTCGCCCCCCTCGCCCACTTCGTCGCCTCTTCTTCCCTTCCCCCTCATCCTCTTCTTCTTCCTCGCCCTCCTGCTCCTCCCTGCGCCTCCTCGTCGTCCCCCTCGCCCCCTTCGTCGCCTCTTCGTCCTCGTCATCCTCGTCCTCCTCGCCTTCCTCGCCCTCCGCCCGCCCTGTTCGCCGTCCCGCCCCCCTCGTTCTCCTCCTCCTCCTCCTCCTCCTCCTCCTCCTCCTCGCCGTCGTCCTCCTTCCCGCGCCCGCGGCCTTGGGCGCACCCGCGAGGCCGCGCTCGAGGGCCTCGACTGGCAGAACGCACCGCCCCAGCTGGCTGGCGGGCCAGGAGGAGAAGAGTGAGGGGCGGAGGGAGGGGAGGGGACGGAGGAGAGGAGGAGGAGAGGAGGAGGGAAGAGGAGGGAGGAGCTTTCTCAGAGTTTCCTGACACCCGCAAGTTGATGGGAAGGGGGAGGGAGGATTGAAGAGGGAAGAGGGAGGAAGGAGGATCGGGAGGAGGAGGAGGCGGATGAGGTAGGAGGAGAGATGAGGAGGAGGAGGAGGAGGAGGAGGAGGAGGAGGAGGAGGAGGAGGAGGAGGAGGAGCAGCAGGAGGAGCAGCAGGAGGAGGAGGAGGAAGAGGAGAAGGAGGAGGAGGAGGCGGAGGAGGAGAAGGAGGAGGAGGGGAGGAGGGAGGAGGAGGAGGAGGAGGAGGAGGAGGAGGAGGAGGAGGAGGAGGAGGAGGAGGAGGAGGAGGAGGAGAGGGAGGATGAGGAGGCGGAGGAGGAGGAGGCTGAAGAATAAGAAGAGGCACACTAAGACTAATAAGGAAACGACACCGAATACTATTATTCCGAAGAAAAGAATAATACTAAGACGCATAAAAATACTAAGACGACTAATCAGAAGAATTCGAAGAAGACTACGAAGAAGAAGACGAATAAACAGAAGAAGAGGAGGAGGAGGAGGAGGAGGAGGAGGAGGAGGAGGAGGGGGGGAGAAGGAATGGAGAGGGGGGTGAGGAAGGAAGATGGGGTGGGCACGAGGGTGGATGAAGGCTGGAAAGGAGCTGATGCCGCTGGCTCGCACCCCCACGGCTCGTTTTAGAAAGGGGGCGGGGACGGAAACGCGTGAAGGGTGTGCCGAATTGGAGGAGGAGGAGGAGGAGGAGGAGGAGGAGCAGCAGCAGCAGCAGCAGCGGCAGCAGCAGCAGCAGCGGCAGGAGAGTCAGGAGGAGGATGAGGACGACGAAAAAGACCAGCGCAAACCCAAGGCTCATCAACGATGTTGGAGTAAACCCTCCCTCCAAACTCCCTCTTCATAGGTCCCTACAAGGGTTCATTTCCACTGAAGGAACTGCCTCGTTGGGAGACAACCGTTTGAAGACCCTGGAGCATGCCAAAACACCGTTCCTTGTGCTCCAACGCCACGGATCAATCTGACTGCTGCGCCTTGACGATCCTGACTCGTGCGAGAACACCATGCTTGGGACGTCAGCACCGCGAATCAACGTAAATGTTGCCGCCTCATAATCAGAATATATCCAAAAACCATTTCGGGTACGCTGTTTTCGAAGAATGTGCGCGGCGCTCAGGCGAGAGCCGCATGTTGAAAGCGAGCTGCTTTCAATGTGTGAAACTCCTGCAACAATTTAGAACGAATGTGCGCGGCGCTAAGGCGAGAGCCATATTTTGAAAACCGCCCGCCCTCAATCTGCGAATCTCTTGCACTTGTTTAACACGAATGTGTGCGGCGCTAAGGCTAGAGCCACAGTTTGAAAGCCGCCCGCCTCCATTGTGTGAAACTGCTGCCATGTTCAAAGTTTCAGGGTCATAAGTGGTGAGGAAGTCTCAGGCGAAACGCCCTGCCCGCCCTTTCGACCAGCCTCGGGGTGCGACAGGGGGGAGGATTTATTTACAAGGAAAAAACAATGATATGCGCGGCGGATTCAAAAAGGGGACCTAGCTCCGCAGGAGGGCGAGGGACAACTGCAGGGTGGGTGACGGAGGAAAAGGGCATCCGGAGCGGACGGGGGAAGCATCCCGAACGGAGGTCGATTTTCGATCTTGAAGGTTTTCGAAGCTTCGGCTACTCACGCCCATCCGTTTCGCTCCCCCTCCCGGTGTTCCCTCTTTGCCATTTACTATCACTTACCCGATTTCTTCTCTCAATCCTGCCCCTTCCTTATCTGCATTGTCCCGTTTCCTTTGCAGCCGCCTCATCCCCTCTCCGCCCCATCCCCCTCGCGTACGTAAACTTGTCGCAGGCTCAGTGGCGTCATAGTCTGTTGTAGTTGTCCTGTCCAGAAGGTAGATCGCCGAGCCCGCATTCAATTACACATCACCTGTCGCCCTGGAGTGCAGAGGGAGGTATGATCATGGGGGTTTCGCGCGCTCTGGGGGGCTTCCTCATCCTCACTCGGTCGCTTCCTTGCTCCTCGACGCTCGCTCGCTCTACCGGGACGCATATGACTCCCACTGCGTGTTCTCGTGCACTCGGCAGGATTTGCAATTTTCGGGGAGTGCACCTGCGCGCGGGCCTGGATTCTTGACGTCGCCCCTGCTCGCAGGGGCGAAGGCGGGGAACACAAGGGTCTGGGGCCACAGATCTGGCCGAACTCGGCGCGTTCCCCCCAAGATGCCGACACGGTTTTAACGTTGAGGCGATTTTAAGGAGGGGGAGGAGGAGGAGGAGGAGGAGGAGGAGGAGGAGGAGGAGGAGGAGGAGGAGGAGGAGGAGGAGGAGGAGGAGGAGGAGGAGGAGGACGAAGAGGAGGAGGAGGAGGAGGAGGAGGAGGAGGAGGAGGAGGGGGAGGAGGCTCAGCGTTTCCGAGGCTGTGTCTCGGGCCTCCCATCGGGGATAGACCTGGGCGCACTGGCGAGCCAGCGCGCGGGCCTCGCTCGTGCCCTGGGCGGCGATGCCGTTCCGCCTTGCTTCGAGAAGGGTAGAGGACGGCGTCAACATGATTTCCAGAGCTCCGCGTGGATTTCTCGGATCCGCGCCTGGGCCCCCCTGGCGGCGCCTCCAGCGCCGCCCCTGGAGCGCTCCGCGCGCCAGGGAGGGGGTTCCAGCGCCGACCCAAGGAATCCGCGCAGATCTCCGAGACACTATGTTAATGCTGTGTTCCCCAAGCAGTGTTTGCACTTAGGGGTTCCTCCTACTCGTGGTAAACGGAACTGGCCCTGAAGGTCTGTCTGGCGGCTATATAGTCGCCGTCGCCGCCCCGTCGCCGCCTCGTCGCCGCCCGTCGTCTGGGCCTGAGAGTCGGTCTGGCGGCTATGTAGTCGCCGTCGCCGCCTCGTCGCCGCCCGTCGTCTGGGCCTGAAAGTCGGTCTGGCGGCTATGTGGTCGCCGTCGCCGCCCCGTCGCCGCCTCATCGCCGCCCGTCGTCGGGCCACATACACCGCCGTGACAAAATATTATGCTTTTTTTATGATATGTTGGAATATCCCATCCCATTGAAGATTCCTAACATTGACACGCTTCCTCCGCGATCCCGCGGAGTAATTCGTCTACCTCTAATTAATTTCAAAACAGGATCGGAAATTACTCCGCCCATTCCTGTATGAAAAATGGGGCCGGATGCATGTCCACGCGGAGTAATTTCTACTCCGCCCATTCCGTTTACTCCGCCAGTCTTGAGTCATGTTGAATGAAGACCGCATAATGTTTTTGTCACGGCAATGTATATGCACAACATAGACTCTTCTTTTTATAGTTCCTAGGCTCTACCTCCCCCCAGACTTAACGGTACCCCTTCTCGCATTGCAAGTTACATATTGTTCTGCCCCATCGTCCACTTTAATTATGAGTTTGTACTATCCCACGCAGGCCAGCATCGCCCCTTTCATCCTCTGCAAAAACAATGTGTGCGCGCACACTCGTTTATCACAAAGCTTCATTATTCAACAACCCTTGCAAAACATGTAACGAAGTGCACACGTGCGCGTCGTCGGGCGCGCATGCAGATTTCGTTCAAAAACATTAGGTGTCGTAGGGATTTCAAAACCGAGTTGCCCGAACAAGTATAAACGCACACGGTTTCGCAACAAGGGTTTTCAACAACAAATGCGCCCGCGCTCTGGCGAATTCTTAAGAAAACCATAGGTTTCTCAACAATTTCATCACATGCTGCCAAGCAGGCCCCTCGCCCGCACATGTCGGAATCGCTCGAACGCCCGTGCGCGCGTGCTGTCGCAATGACCCCTTGCAAAACATCGGACGAGTTGCACGCGCGCGTCGGCCGCGCGCGCATGCCGACATCTTTCAAGGTGTCGTGAGGATTTCAGAAAACGAGCGTTCCGAAAACATATACAAACTCACTGTTCTGCAACATCAGTTTTCGACAAATGTCGACGCGTGCTAGGCGAATGCGTAAGACAACCATGTGCTTTTGTTTTTTTCAGCATTGCCAGCAGTTTCTGCCAAACGGGCCGTTCGCGCCGCATGTCAAACTCATCCGAACGCCCTTGCTGGCGTGCTGGGGGGGGGGGCGATCCGCGTCACATAAGACACCGCGGGCCACCCGCGCGCGTCGGCCGCGCGCGCATGTCGAACTCTTTCCAAAAACCTTCATCACCGACGCGAGGACATCGTCATCGTCACCGGCGGGCGTGATCAACATCGGCGCCGTTGTTGGCCTTGCCGCTGTCATCGCCACCATCGTCACCATCATCGCTACTCTCATCCTCGTGTCTACCGTTGTCGGCGTCGCCTTGGTACCGCGTCCGCCCACATCACTGTTTCGCATTGTTGTGCCCGCTGGAAGTGCCCAGCGGTCAGTAGTGCCACCGCGGCCGCGTCGGTCGTGACGCATTAGCTGGTCGCTGCGCGCGCGAGCATGCGCGGACTAGCGCGGCCGCGGAAATGCACCAGCCAACGCCAAACACTCATCGAAATCGCCGTCGCATGCTTTCGCAAACCAAGTTGCGGGTGGGTGGGTGGGATGTTTGCGCGAGCAGTGGAGTTGACAACTTCAAGTTCGGCAGGGTGAAGTGAACCAACCACATAGCTTGCACCACGTAGACTTGACCAAGTTGAGTGCTGGTCCACATCGATTGCTCCACATACATGGCATCACATATATTGCACCACATGGACGACACAACGTATATTGCATCACATCGATTGCGTAACATAATTTGCACCACCTATATTGCACCACGTTGTTGGCTTGACACAAATTGCTCATCGAATTTACCACACCACAGTAACTGTTTCACACATATTGCATCAACTTGATTGTTCCACATGGGTTGCACAACGTCGATTGCACAGCATCTAGTGTACCACATCTAATCCACCACATAAGTTGTTCTACAT